TCCAGACTGGTTTGATGCAGTTTGTTTGTCTCTAGCCATCCTGCATGGTTGCTGTTTCACAGGCGGACCAAGGGTGGTGGTCATATATTATGATGCACGAGGCCAGTACGGCCAAGGTCAGTGGGCCCTGTGGAGAACACGTCACTGTAAGACCGTAGCTGGCGGTCCAACCTCACCTGGTCGCCCTTGGGCAGACTAGCACAGCTCTTGTTATACAGGACCTGCAGGTGGCTGGGTAAAGAAACACAGACAGAGTTAATAGGTTCAGGGGCCGGTGAGGCCAGAGGTGGCTGGGGCTCCCCCCTCCCCAACACCATGGCTGGCTGTAGAATCCCTGCCACAGCGCCTCTCTTCAAAGTGACAGGTAAGGCACCAAGGTTGAAAACTCTGATGGGAACGTTGGTGGACCGCTGCACCTGTACGATGAAGTGAGCCACTAGCCACTAGCAAAGCAAGTAACCGTTAAGTTACCAATACAGTAACCAAGTAACCATACAGTAAATTAAGGTACCAATATGCACCCTTTAGGTACAAAAGTGTACCTTTTGAAAAGGTACCGCCCCAGTGACAGCTTTTGTACCTTTTTTTCTGAGAGTGTATATGAGAGAGTCATTAAAAAAAAGAGAATAATTCTTGAACAACTCAATTTGTCATTGAATCATTACTGATTCTTTCAAAAACACTGAATGATCAGGAATCAAATGCCGCAACAGTGTTGCAAAGGTTCTGTGGTTTCTTTTTTTTTTTTTGATACAGTTTTTGCAACAAAAGCATACAGAATATTGAATTAAAAAGTAAGTTAATCAATAATAACTTTAATTGTTAATCAAACGTTTTTTGATTGTCATATGAAAGCATCATCACATATGCGTGCTTCCTTTAACCCCTTCAGACCCTGCAGTCATTGATAATGGACCTCACATGGTTTTTTTTATTTAAAGCAATAATATTTTATGTTTTTAAAATATGAGTAATGCCTGGTCACTGATTGTTTTTTGATCAACCAATCACAATGAAGATATGACCCCTAAATTAATCTGATTAAGCTTCAGACAGGAGGAAGAGGAAGCCCCTTTTTAATCTTTTATATGCAGAGTTATGTTTAGGATAGCCTTGTCAACTTGCAACTAATATAAATTTAATAAGTGAAAATATTCAAAGTTATTTTTAAAGCTACACTGTGTAACTCTTTTAGTTTATTCTAAAAAAACACTTAGTTCTTTCAAAAATATATGTGCACATTAATGTATATTTACTTCGTTCAAGTAATGGTGTATAATATGCCATTGAAAATACATACGGGTAAGGGGTTCTAATGTCGGTCGCCATGTTGCCCCTCCATCTTGAATGTACATTAGCCAAAGAGGGACATACCCGTTAATTCAAGCTTCGCATTTCACGTTTACATTTGAGTTAACACTCATGGACAAGGTCGAACTGGAACTGAAGCCGTGTTAATCTTGGACTATATTGGCCACCGTAAGAGTTAAAACGAAATCGGAATTGAGAGGAACAGAAACTAATATTCACTGGATGGTCATATACCTTTTCACCGCTAGATGGGGGTAAAAATCACACAGTGTAGTTTTAAAATCTTTCAGTTTCAGAACTCTGGAATTTTAATGTTTAAGTTTAATGTCCATCACAATGGACATCAGCGTTAAAAGATCAGGAGATCAAAAGAGCAGGAACCTCATGAAATAGTTGCGTGGCAGGTTCTGAAATTTTGTGCAAACATTTTTAAATCTAAAATACAGAGCTGCAAATTCTAATGTTGATGTTTTATGAACATTAATGTTAATTAATTAAATATTATTAATATGATTTTATGTCTTCAAAGTGACCATAAACTGTCCATCAATTTTTCATTGGTTTTAGTGAGAAGTGGCCACAATGGATGTGAGATGAATGTCACAGCAACTCTCACACCCTCCACACACACTGATAACTTGATGCTATAATGCACACAATAATATATTCATCAAAACCACCAGAAACTATTAACACATCCACATAGACACAAAGACATATACATATATACTCAGAATCATCCAGTGCAACCAAAAAAAAGTTTTTTAGACTTTATTTCATCATACCTTTTTTCTACATTCCTATTGCATTGCTCATTCTAACAGTATGTTTAAAAAAAAAAAAAAACTTTTTATCTTCAAAACACTATTTCACAAAATGTGGTTCATAAGTATGGTTAATATGTGATATTTTTGATGTTTCTTCAGTCATGGGATCCATTGTAGTGGACAAGTAAAAAATTTAATGAAAATTAGTTGGCAAAATCTTTGTTTTTTAGATGTTGATTTTCTAAATTCAACTGTACATGGAAGAAGAACAATATATAGGCTAATGAGGAAGAAAATCTGATTGAAACTCTTAAATCTGGTTAACTCATATAGTCGAACACAAAAATTATTGCGACAATTTAAATGGGTGGAAACAAAGATGTTGGTAAAGCAAAATGATGAAAAATGTATAGAGTGAATGTTTCCAAACAGTACAAGTTGTCATTATATTACAATTTTCCGAAGAAAAAAACGTCATAATCTGATTTTGTTAAGGATATTCCATTTTTTTTTAATCCACATATTCACACGCCACGTAGAAACATCTGTCACATTTACACAGCAGACATTCATTTAAGTCTGGCTGTCTCCTTGTCTTCACCATAAATGAGGTTTTCCTTGCCGAAACTCTGTTTTGACTTCCAAAATCTTCCACAGGAGACAGATTGCACTCCTAATAATGTCGGTCTGTGGCTACAATTTTTTTATGCTACCATAGACCACACCAGCAGTCACAAATCAACAAATTACAATACTGCTAAAACATCTTTACATTGTGTAATGTAATGATTTGTTTTCTTAATCTCATTCCATCTGCTCAACTCACTTATTAGCCATACTCACCCCCTTTTGAATGTTTTTTCCCCCTTTGTTTTTGTCTCTCTAGTCTAGATATTTTGAGCAGTATCCAAATATTGCCATATAGTATGGAGTGTGGGCCTAAGAAAAGGCCTCGAGGGGATGTGAGTGAGTCCTTTCTGTCTCCCACTGTCTTGCCTTTCTCCCCAAAATCCATTAAGAGTAAGGGGCTTGTTGACATGTTATTCCTGTCGGGTCTTGCTAGACCCCATCAACAGGACCATGTCTGTCGGGACTGGAAGGACTGGAGTTATTTTGGGTGGTAGTTTGGTGCTGGTCTCTCCATCTCTGCTCCAGACTTCTGCTGATAGATTATCTAAGAGACTTCATGGGAGTAGCTGCAATTATTAGCCTGACGCCATGCAGGCTACAACAGTTATCACTCCCTCTGATAAGTGAAGGGAGAAAGCCTACGGATTCTGCCATTGAAGTAGCTGTTTGCTCTTGATGTTGACAATTTGCAAAAGTTTGCTACATTTACATAATGAGCAAAATCTTCATCATTCTGAATGTCTGTTATGCACGCTAAAAATCATTCACTATAGTGCAGAAAAAAAATAATGCTTAATATAAATTGCAAACTCTCAAAGTAATAAAAAATATATAATATGGGTTTAGCCAGACTTCTGACTACACAAACGCACATGTTGGGTTTTCATGAATGGGGACTTTCCATAGACATAATAATATTTATACTGAACGGTATATTCTTTCCCCCAACCCTACTCATCACATAAAACGTTCTGTATTTTTAGATTTTCAAAAACACATCACTTAGTATGGTTAATAAGCTGTTTTTCTCGGGGACCAAAAAAGGGATTTTGGATAAGGTATATAAGACACAAAGTAAATATATTAGCACTTAATTTAAGCTTGTAGAATTTAAATTGTAAATATCAACGTTATAAAATTAAGAAAAAACGTTATGCTTTTCTAATACTGGTGATCCCATCATGCACTGGGGATTAAATAATTAATAAGGTTATTTTTATTTTATTTTTTTATTTATTTTTTTGTTGCTGTTTTCCAGCTGTATTTTCACTGTTTTATCATTGCTTTTGTTGTTAGGTCTAGTAACTTGCATTTTGTGCCATGAAATTTATTTTCTACTCCACATTCATACTCATACTCAAAAACGATCAAGTGTCACTGTCATAAACATTGAGATCTCTGTGTTCACGTTACATACATATGGTGTCTACACAATATCCTTTGTATCAATTAAATGTGTTTAAGCGTTCACTTTAAAAGTGTGGATTAATTCAGTCTTATATTGTTTGAGTAAAAAGTATTGTTTAGTTCAACTAAGTTGAAATTACTCAACCTTTTACCGTATGGGCATGCCCAAGTTAAAATGACTTATTTTCTTTGGTAATTTTAATTTAGTTAAGTCGAGTTTACTTAATTCCATAAATTAAATTTACAAAAAATGTGAGCGCAAAAGAAAAATTAAGAACATTTTACTTATTGATTTTTTTTTCCAGTGAACTATGTGTGTGTGTGTGTGTGTGTGTGTGTGTGTGTGTGTGTGTAAAACAAAAAAAGATGTAGAATAAACTATTAGAGTTCTCTAACTTCTCTAACTATTAGAGAATTTGTCTTGCAGTTATTTCAAAATGTCCCTATGATAATAATTATTATAAGAATAATTAGTAGCCTACTAGTGTAAAATATATTATACAAATATTTCTATTATATAATTTATATTGTAAAAAATAACTAAATAAAAATTAGGCTAATGATGCAAACAAAATTATTGTTCCCCCAAAATACTTTTTTTTTTTTTTTTTTTTTTTTTTTTTAAATATGGTAGGTACTATTTGTCTATAGTGATATCCACTTTGAGAAGTTCAGTTTGTAATAGCCTTTACGGTCTATGGTAATAGCCTAGTTTTTTTTTTTCCTTACACAATCACAGTCATTACAGCAGTAATATTTCGGTGTCTTGCAATAACGTTTTTTCGTGCACAATCACAATCACTGCAGCCATAACATTTTGGTTTCCTGTCGCAGGCAGAGCGCGCGCACACACACACAGAGGTACATGTTGCTCCTTTAAGAGTTCGGAAACTTGATACTGTGTTTGCGCAACAATCAGCGCGGCTCGCAGCCGCCAAAGTGTCTAGACGAGCACATGATGGGAATCAACCAATGGCTCCACTGCTCTCCTCAGGGGCCCCGTGTGTGTGTGTATCTGAAGAAAGAGAGTGAAACGGTGAAAGAAACCATCGAAGAATCCCATTAATCTCGCACGAAACACGGAAAGAATCCTCAAGACATTGTATGTCCATCTATCCACCCGGAACGACCACTTTGCCGTTGCAACACGATCATTTTCTTCCGCGAGGAGTGCGTTAAACGTCAATAAGGATTATAGTGAGATCCATTCATGTGCTCGGCGTCATTAAACTGCTGCAGGAGGTTCTCTTGAAAAAAAGAGGTTTGTTTCGGAAATTATTTTCCTGCATATCGCGCATTTCGCGTTGTTTATCAAGAATAAAGTTTATCATGTTGATGATGGGGAATGTTTAGAAAGTGGATGCACCGCTCCTCGCGTAGTGCACTATGATTACAGCCATCCCGTTGCTACAGTGTTGACATTTTGTAGCAGTGGAGTCTAATGTTGGGCTTTGCTCAGGCTCTGCTCGGCTGTGCATGTGAGCACAGATCATTGATGTCGGACAGCGAGCGCACGAGCATTTGGAGTCTCCGCTGTTCTGACCAAACTTAGAAGGAAAAAAAACGGATGCAAACTGTTTAAATTGTCGTATGTTCAGGACGAGACGCTCGGGTCTGGTTCGGCGACTCTGGAGAAGCCGTTTGGTCACCGCAGGTAAAGAGGGGGGCGATGGAGGTCCGGATGACTGGAGTGACAGCAACCCAGAGAAGGTCCCCAGAACGGAATACGAACTGGGAAACAATGCGGGCTCTTGCAGCAAACGCTTAGAGGAACGCGGGGAACCGGGGGTCCTTATTGAACAGGATGGACCCCTCGACGAGGGGAGCGAGGGCAGGACGGTGACATGCTGTTTGTTTAAAGACCTCCCCAGAGGCAAAAACCGACTTGCTTGTCGCGTGGAACATAGGAACCACACCAACTACAGCAGTTTAAGTGGCAGGGAACTGAAAAATGGTGCCGTGACTGAACAAGAACTCAAGAAGTGCACTTATGCATTTCTCAAAAAGTTGAAAGAGAAGTCTCTGGATGTTTTACTGGAAGCCGTGGAATCTCAAGGCGGGATGCCGAGCGGATGTGTCCTTGTTTCGCAGACTGAAGTGCGCATTGGAGGTCAACTGGTGTCTCCACAGTACCTGTTGTGTCGACTTTTCCGCTGGCCAGAACTGCGGCTCTCCTCTCTCCTCAAACCGCTCTGTCACTGTCAAAGCTTCAGGGCAGAGGACAGCCAGACCCTCTGCTGCAACCCCCATCACTACAGCCGCCTCTGTGGACCAGTCAAAGATGGTAAGGGAACCCTGTGAATGTTTTTAGTCAAGGCAATAGTGACTTTCTTTTTCAATCTTAATCTAATATGCTTTTGAATTGTAATAACTCAATTTCAACCTTGCTGAAAAAAACTGAATTTCTTTGCTGTTTCTTGCCACTGATCCAAGCTGGTCTGTTTGGTGCTTTTAGATGAGTTATGGGCACATTTTGGAAGTAAAAATTGACCTAAGCCAGGAGACCATCTTAAACCAGTTAAGACCATTTTAAACTAGCTGAGACCAGTAAACCATCTTAAACTGGCTTAATTATTTGTGTTGTGTTGAGGCAAAACACAAAATTAAGTCCTTTGTACTAATATAACCAATAGAACACATTTTTTTCGTGAAGGCTGGGTGAATGATTGGGAGGGGAGTTGGACAGTGATACTCCTGTTCAGGAAGTGGAATTCCCAACTGGAGTCCCTCTGGGATTCTCAGTTTCACCGCTCCCTCCCTATTCACAAAAACACTGCTCTAACATTGTGTATGAACAGTTGCAGATTGAGAACAGAATTGATTGAACAATAATCTTAGAGGAGGGTCAAAAGGAGGAAAGAATATTGAGTAAAATGTAGCATGCTGGTTTAGTAAAAATAAAAGTAGTATGACTTGCGCTGTAGTCTTACAAGAGAACTAGTCATGCATACAAATGGTCACTACAGTCCAACACTGATGTCCTGTAAGTGGTTAATAGTTTTAAAGCAAAGTCTGATACATTCAGTTTTTTTCATCTGAAGTTTTTATTCACTGTGTAAGCAAACGTGTTTCCACCCTCTGTAATAATGAGATTCAGAACTGGTCACTTTTAATTGGATTCCATGCATTCTTGGCTCATAGTGACACATTCATTGTCTTTTTGATGGATGGCACTTCTTCACCTGTAATTTCCATACCAGCTGGTAACATTCTCATTGGCTGTAAACGCGCTGGAGAATCTGTGCCAAACGCTTTCTCCGTGTTAGATCTTTAGATCTAAGTCTGGTCAAATAGGCATCAGACAGAGATGTGTTCAGTTTTGGTGGTATACTCAATCAAAAGAAAACTTTTAACTCCATTCTCTCTATTTTCAGACACACCACCTCCTCCATACTCCCATCTCTCCCCCTTACCAGAACACAAGCCACTGAGTAAGTCATTTAGTTTTCCTCAGTTCAATTAAGCAAAGATTCCCTGAAATAAAGTATGATATTTTAACTCTGTTTGTCATGTTTTTTTTTTTAAATGCAGTCAAATGGAGAAAAGATTGAATTTTATGTCTTGTCATTTTGCAGATTCTTCCCTCCCAATGCTGCCTTACATAGAAACCGAAGCCACGCGTTCACACTGTGGCATGTCGCAGGACTATTCAGGTTGGTGTTCAAGTCTTCAGTAAATTAATGCATTTAAATGGGGGAAAAGTATTCGACAATTAATTACTGGTTGATCCAGAAAATCAAGTGATGTGTATTTACACTACTGTTCAAAAGTTTGGGTTGCCATTCAAAAGTTAAAAATAAATTTAAAATATTAGATAAAGATTTTTATTTCTTTTGAACTTTATATTCATTAAAGAAACATGAAGAGAATTTAACATGGTTGCTGTTTTAAACATGAATAAGAAATGTCTCTTGAGCACCATATTAAAATGATTTATGAAGGGTAATGTGACGCGACACTGGCTACGTTTACATGCACGCCTTTTGTTTCAATATGAATGAATTCATTCCGACGGTAGTGTTTACATGAACGCTAAATTAAGTGATCAGGTTGATGTTCGCTTTATATGACATAATAAACTATGACGGGTCCTGATTAGGAGATGACGAGCACATAAACTGTTTTGCCGTGCTGCTTATATTTATCAATCAGTAAAAACACCCCTTCCCGTGCCCAAAATAAAGTGTCTGTGTGGATGAGAGAATGAAGTGAGGACTGATGGGACTTAGTTCTGCTCCACTTCACAGACAATGAGTGGTAGGAGAATTTTAGAATAATACATAAGTCATTTATAATTAATTTAACAACAACTGCACCTTGTCATAGGTCATTCCGCGCATCTCATTACAGCATTTCTGCGTCATTTCACTTGCACAGTCCTTTCCAGTTTTGTTTTTCAATCCGATTAAGTGTTTACCTCTCGATCAGATTAGAAAAGGAATAAACCACCCCTTCCAATCCGATCGAATAAGGTGTTTACATGAAGGCTTTTCTGAAACTGAAAATTCAGCTTTGCCATCACAATTACATAAAAAAAGAAAGTAATTTTATATTGTAATATTATTTCAAACTATTCCTGTTTTTACTGTTTTTTTAAAGACAAAGCATAAGAGAAGAAGGCCAACATTTTGAACGTTAGTGTATGCTGAATTTGATGCTTTGGTTTGGCTCTTGCTGTTTTCAGAGCTGCTAATTAGGAGAACATCTCAAATGGCTTTGCTAATATCCATGCTATCTTTCTTAGCACTGGTCAGCTAAGCATTCCTCTCCTTATCATATAATAACCTCCCCACGTAAGGTTTCTGTGCTTGTTGTAGGGTTCTTGAAGGAGAAGACATTTGTCTTGTTGTCACTTTCCTACTTTATCTTCTTCCTACAGTCCAATTATGTACCCATGTGGTTTATTGTTCTCTCCATTTCATAGCTTCCGAATTTAAAGATATTTTTAATATGATGAAAACATGTTACACCTTCTTTTGAATATTCATTCATCAATTTTGACTTTCTCCAGTTTGAATATGATATCAAGATGAGCTTTATGCAAACAGCCAAAAGACGTCATCCAGCAGCTTTTCAGCACTGAGTCAAAATTAGATTATGAGCAACAATGGGCAGTCTTGTCAGGATGCTGACTGGGGGACTCTCAGGGCCTCCTGAGCTCTTATCTGCTGTGAGTCTTCCAGTCCTGCGCTGATTATTACCCTGCATAGAAAGCTCTGAAGACAAGGAACAAGATCCTTTTGGTGTGTCGCATACTTTCTTTCCTCCATTATTTTCATGTTGATGCTTCCTGCTGAGTTTTGCAATGCAAGCCCTGGCACAGCCAGCCAGTCGCATTTTAAAATAAGGTTTAAATTACAGGCCTCGCTGTGGCTTCCCCTCTTCCTGACAGAGCGCAGGCCAACACGCAATTTAACTAATGAAATCCTGCCTGTCTCTGCAGAGATTCTTTGCAGATGTTGACAAAGAATGAGTCTATCAATTGTTGGAAAATTATTTGCCCCCGCTTTTTAAGGGATACGCATGTTTAGGCTTTTTAGATCTAGTCTTTTCTTCTTTTTTTTTGCCAGATTTATTGTAATTAGGTTTACGCGTGATATTGTTTGTGTCTGTCTGCATAGTTCTCTCAGTGTCTGCTCAGTATTGTGACTGGGAGAAATCATTTTGCTTTCTCATTCTGACAAAAGCTGTTAGTTTAATCTTAGATGGGGATCAATGTGCAGTCAATTCTCTTACCACAAATTCATCATCCAGAGGAATGAACAACAAAATGACTCGCAAAAGAAAGACATTTCTACAAATATGTCCCCCAATTGAAGGATTTGTGCATGTATGCCTGACTAAAAATGTAGAATAGAGAGACCCAACTGTCACGGCTGTGCACGGAGATGAACCCAAACGCAGACAGTGTACAATGAACTCAGGGTTTATTAGGACAAAACAGGAAAACAAAACCCACGAGGGGGCAAAACAGACGAAACAAGGGAAATAAGACTGACAAGACTAGAAAATGACTGAACAAGAAACCAACACTTTGTATAATACTAACAATGACAATGCTTTTCACAGACTACTCACAGGTAACATTTAGCAATGAACCGACACAAGACAGCAAACACAAGGGGATTATAAAGGGAACACTAATGACAAGGACAGGTGAAACTGACTAGACAATAATCACAAGACTAGGATAACAAGGGGGCGGGGTAACGTAACGAGACAACACAAGCACATGGCCCAAACTGGCCATGCGCTTGCACACAAAACATGATTCTGTCATGATCCTGCCTCACGACTAGAGAATATCAAAGACAAGAAGGCAGAATCATGACAGAACCCCCACCTTAAGGAGCGGCTTCCAGACGCTCCTCAAGGGGACATTAAACATGGGACATGACAGACTGTGACACAGACACAAACCAACAGTACATGGCAAAAACTAACAAAGGCATACAAGAATACACAACGACAGGGTTGGGGTGGAACATCAAAAACATCATACAGGGTAGAGGGGGTGGAGGAAACACAAAGTTCATGGGGGGCATGCCAGAGTTTGTGATGGGAAGTTCCGGGTGAGTCGATGGGCAAGGGATCCTGGTTGACTGGGAGGAAGACTGGGGACGAGGACTCTGGGCTGGCTTGGACGGAGACACACGAGGAGAAGACTTAGAAGTCTGGGATCTAGTGGAGACAGGAACAATCGGGGAAACAGTCCAGGGTTGAGCGCAGACAGGGCTGACCGGGGAAACACACGGGGTCTTGGGAACAGTGGAAGTCACAACAGGGATAGCAACTGGGGGTACATCGAACGAAGGAGACAAAGCAGGACTCATGACGGGGAGTGTAGTAGGAGATCGTAGAGGGGAAACTGGGACAGAGCTCATCGAAGAAGACTTGGGAGCGGTGTTCTCAGCTGCAGTCTGGGGTACGGCGCTCACTGCAGCTGTCTGGGGTACGGCACTCACTGCAGTTGTGGACTCGGGACAGGGCAAATTGACAGGACTGACAGGGACTTCAAGGATCTTGACAAGGGTCTTTAAGTATTCTGACAAAACCTCAGCGGCATCGCGGACAGGCATGTCTTGACGAGCAGAAACAGACCGCAAAACACTTTCAGCAGCTAAATCGGCCTCGGCCCTCTCTGCAGCGCTTACAACTGTAGCTTCAGGAATAACGTTCACAGCTGCAGCGGACTCTGGGACATTCACTGCTGCAGCGGGCTCTGGGACATCCACTGCTGCAGCGGGCTCTATACCAGGCAGAGACGAAGGACAGGGCGCTCCCCTCCTCCTCTTCTTTCTCCTAGGTCGCGGTACCGAGACCGTAGTTGGACTAGTGACCAGTTGAAGGATCTCCGCGGGGACCGTAGCAGGCTCTGGGAAGACAGTCCCAGGAAGTGTAGACTCTGTCGAAGAGGACTCAGACGCCGACTCCCACGACAGCCGTCTTCCCCGCTTTCCGCGAAGAGTTGTAACAGTGGATGACGCCTCGGGAGTCGAGGTGGGAAGAGTCCGGTCCCCCACCGTAGCCACGGCGAGAACGCGACCCTCCGGGATCACGGGGAGCAAGCCAGGTGATGGCGACACGGTGGCACTCGGCGGGTCTTTCCGCGACAAACAGACCACCATATCCCGGAACGGACGACGGGCCAGCTTCTCCCGTTCAGCAAGAGGAGGAGGATCATTGAGACCCGCAATAAGGTAGCAATTTAAGAGGCGTTCAGGTAAGAGACACCTCCCCTCATCCACAACCCGGGCATACTCGTTCAAAGACAGCTCTCCCTGGGAGGGAATCGAAAGCTTGCCACTCCGTGAATCGGAGATAGTCCTGAGCCACCAATCTTCTAGAGGGTCCGACTGGCACTTGATGGGCGAGGACATACTGTCTGCTGGGTTCGGTTCTGGTCGGTTCATTCTGTCACGGCTGTGCACGGAGATGAACCCAAACGCAGACAGTGTACAATGAACTCAGGGTTTATTAGGACAAAACAGGAAAACAAAACCCACGAGGGGGCAAAACAGACGAAACAAGGGAAATAAGACTGACAAGACTAGAAAATGACTGAACAAGAAACCAACAACACTTTGTATAATACTAACAATGACAATGCTTTTCACAGACTACTCACAGGTAACATTTAGCAATGAACCGACACAAGACAGCAAACACAAGGGGATTATAAAGGGAACACTAATGACAAGGACAGGTGAAACTGACTAGACAATAATCACAAGACTAGGATAACAAGGGGGCGGGGTAACGTAACGAGACAACACAAGCACATGGCCCAAACTGGCCATGCGCTTGCACACAAAACATGATTCTGTCATGATCCTGCCTCACGACTAGAGAATATCAAAGACAAGAAGGCAGAATCATGACACCCAACAATGAAAATTCTGAAAATCATTTACTCACCCTTATTCCAAATGAATTTGACATACTTTCTTATTTACAACACAAAGGAGAGGTATTTTTAAGGAATTCTGAAGTACATGGCTTCCAAAATAACATTGGATCCCATTGACTTTTATTTAATGGATACATTTGTTTTATTTGTGGTCCAAGAAGAAAGGAAATCATACAGGTTTGAAATGGAATGATGGCGAGTACATGATGATAAATATTTTATTTTTCAGGTGAACTATTTCTTTAAGAGTTATTTCAGAGTGTAGATTTAGATGCACAGAAGGAAAGATGTTGGCTTGCTTTTGGAGCCAAACGATTTGCTTTTGCAGGCACTAACAACTGTGCATGCAAATTATACAGTGCAAATGAGCAACTTATTTAAACTTAAAGGGGATCCTGAAACCTCATTGTCATTCCCAATAGCATTGCTTACAGAAATAAATAATTTCCATTTCTTTGCATAAGCTTTAAGAAAGTTAAACTTCAAATGAGGCACTCTTTGAAAAGCAGATTGTTTGTAGTCTTTTCCAGTGAACCAAAAAATTAAATTTTTTGCAAATCTCTATGGAAATGATTATATTCCTCTTTGTCTTTTTGTCCATGCATATGTGTTTTTTAAGCACATAGCCTACTAAGTCAGTGGCCAGAGAATCCAAGATAATGACGGTGTATTTCCGTACCCTGCCGTACAAAACTTACTTCATTAACAGTGTGTCCTCTGGTGTCTGCTTGGGCCAGAGAGGGTTGAGACTGAGCAGAATGGGGGCACAGGCCCAGGGCTTTAGATCTTCTCCCTCAATAGAGCCTGTGAAGCAAAATAATGCCATCAGTCTGTGTTTGAGTTAATCAGACTGGATAGGCTGGCGGCTGGGGGGTCAGGGGGTCGCGGGCCTTCACTGAGTGGTCAGAGAGCTGAATGCTGGTCCTCGGAGGGGGAGAGGGGGCCCCAGTCGGCCCCGCGCGGGGAGAGAGGAATGCTGAGGCAGAAGAGGGGGGTGTTAAGAGTCAGAGATGACAGATTTGGGCCTGTTAGTGGGGGTCGTTGCTTCTTCAGTTTCGAACCCTCTCCTGATAGGATTGGAGATCAAGTGAATGAATATGCTCTGTGTAATATCAAAAAGAACTAGGGAGCTGATATAAGAGTGGTCAAAACATTGACATTGCTTGTCATGACCGCACATTACAGCCGGAAAAAGTGCGGTAATGCTTAGGAACACTCTGCTGTGGCTTTCAGAAATACCAGAAAACAAAATTAATTATTATTATCATTATTTGTTTAATGTTATAAAAGTATAAAAATACACAATATAGCTATATTTAATATTGCTACAATCGTTGGTATATCCAGTATTGTAGGAAGATATATAATATAATAATAATCAATTAATATTTTTTTTTCTTTAATCAGCATAAACATGATATATTTATATATACATATGTATTTGGTATTCCAATTTGGTATTCTGTTTTATATTGTGCTTTATGTACTTTTTGTATTTCATACATTGGTTTTCTCACTCCTCAGATGCCAGTATGTCTCCATCCTCCTTGGCACAGAATCACTGGTGTAACGTGGCATACTGGGAGCTTCGTACACGCGTGGGCCGCCTGTACCCAGTTCACGACGCCTCCCTTAGCATCTTCTATGACCTACCTCAGGGTACAGGCTTGTGCTTGGGCCTGCTCCCCCTCTCTCCGCGTTCCACTTCCGTCCAGCGCACCCGCGGCAAGATCGGACACGGCATCCTCCTCAGCAAAGAGCCAGATGGAGTTTGGGCCTACAACCGCAGTCAGCACCCTATTTTTGTGAATTCTCCAACTCTGGAGCATCACCCCTACTTGAGTTTGACTGTGAGGAGAGTCATGCCAGGCTACTCCATAAAGGTTTTTGACTATGAGAAGTCGTGCCAAAATCAAGCCCTCAGCGATTTGGTGCACCTGGAAGGGCCGTACGACCCAAACAGTGTGAGGATCAGTTTTGCCAAGGGCTGGGGACCATGTTACTCCAGACAGTTCATTACATCATGTCCATGTTGGTTGGAGATTTTACTGAACAACCACAGATAATGTATACACACAAACAAATGCAGACATACACAGTCTTACCGCATACTGCACACACTCACTGCAAATGCTCAGACACCCACAGCCACAATCCCAAATGTAATCTATCTAAATTTAATATAAAGTTTTATATAAACGTATTATATGGAATACTTGTAAATACGGAGTCATTTTTACAATTATTTATGTATGGTGCAATGGATGGACAGAGAAAATAAAAACAAAAGAAATGTACTTTGGATTTCTGTGTGTTGAAATGTGCCATTTTGGGAATTTACATCGAGTCTTGTGGTATACTATAAATGACTAAATTAAATTATATGCAGATTTTCAGTATGATCCAGTCAAGGATCACGTAGCTATTTAAACAAACACAAAAAGAATATATATATTTTTTTAAACCAAAATATTTTATTACTTGTATTAATATCAGTGTAGGTATTTTGTCTGTTTTTGCTGGCTGCTTTCTGAGCAAAAGCTAAACCTCTAATTTAATTTCACCCTTATAATCAATGCCGAGCTTACATTCATGAATTTATCACTGGGTCTTTTGTCTTTGCTGACAAAGATTTTATGTTTGGTTGAATTTTCACGAATAAAACTCTATAAATGTTATTGCATATTTAAAATATGTGTCAAGGTTGCTATTTAGAGATCATTTGAAAATGTCCAATTAGTACTTCATTTTTCAGTAGAATGAAAAATCGCTGATAGTTTCTGGAGAATAAAGCGATTTCATTCCATTTTTTTTTCCATTCAAGTACAAAGTAAACTTTACTATGCTCACACATCACATAAGTGTCACAGCTTTCCATGTCCAGTGTTGCAATACATCAGGGTCCAGGGAATCTTTCTTTTAGTGCCGTTGTTTGTTCTAGAGGGCGACCGCGTAGCGGCTAGCTTACTCAGCAGTCTGCCTGGCCCCACCTCATCCCTTTTAAAACAGGACTCCCAGAAAGCAACATAGACATTATCCCTGCGCCATGAAGCCCCAGCCGCCCAGCTCCAGACGCATTCTTCAGCTCTGTGAACACCATATTATGACTGTGGAGACAGAGGAGAAAAACTAGCACCTTTGAACATTTATATCTGTGAAGGGAAACGGAAAAAAATCCTTCTGGCATTTGCATTCAGCTTGTTTGCCTTCTCAAGAATTTCGGCTGCTTTTCATGGAGGATTTAGTTAGATTCACCTTCTTTTTAAATCATTGTTGCTTCTCACACATTTCTTATGGCCCGATGGTTAACGTGTTTCTGCATAAAACAGCATAATCAACTCAAATAATATGGTCTGTGCTCTTACATGCATGAATGTTTTTAGTTTCTATCTCTAATTGATCTCATTTGTCATATTCTGGAAGCAGGATCTCTGTCGGGAATGGCTCTGGTTTCTAGCCGTGGTGTTTTTAACTCCATGGTGGGCTGACCTCACAGTGAACTGGATTTCTGAGTGAATGTGGCGATTTTGGCTCAGCCGACGCTGCTCTAATTCGTTTGCAACTGCATCAGATCTTACCAGGTTGGGATTTATTTGTGAAGAATTAACTTTTGTATAAACAGAGTTGAACTTACTAAAACGATACATTCTTGTTAAATCTGCTTGTTGAATTCATGGAATTAGCCTTTAAGGCTTGAAAGGATCGACCTACTTGAATCTCAATAGCACAATAGAGCTTTGAGGCCCTTAGGAAGAGAAGCAGATGCAGAGAGGCGCCATGATGACGTCACATAAGACATTTAATTACATATCAGCTGATTTGAATTTATTCACCACATGTCCCCCTTTCTTTCTCTTTGTTCCCATACTGTCTCAAAAAACAAAATGGATAAATAAGAATAGAAATTAGAGTAGGCAGCACCATAAATCAGTCTGTCATCGGGTAATTATCTAAATATAATATTTAGCCTTTATTTTCTTTCACCCTCTTCCCTTCATTTAAATCATTCAGCAGTCCACTATAAACTCAAGCCCATGTATGTACTGTATGTGATGTGTGTAGAGTTTCTTTGCGTGTAGGCGTACTGGTGTTTATTCCTAATCCTGTCTCTGTTTTGTTTCTTTAAGCACTATGTCTGTCAGCCACTGTAGTAATTATAGTGAGACTGGAAGCCTGGCTCGGGACGGCCCGCTCCTTAAACATCCTTCAGACACAACACTGCTAGACCCAGATCCAAAAACACAGCCAAAACCGTTTCCCTACCCTTTCACCTTTCTTTTTTTTTTGGAAAATCCTCTCATATGTCCCTCTCTCTTTTAAATCCCAAATGCAGTTTGAATTAGGTTACCCCAAACCGTTGGATGAGTATCTGGTTTTACTGGCAGAGGAAAAATATTTGCCTTTGCTTTATCATATAATTTTGAATTATTATATTTTCATAGGCTTGCATGGTATTTTTTTTCCTAGTATAAACTATGTACTTTGCGAAAGACTGAGCCACTGTAGACCGTCCAGCATTTCCTGTCAATAGCTCTGCAGCAGAGAAATCAATATGGTCCCCATGGAGCCAGACACAGTTCTGCTGTTCAGCTCCAGTGTTTATCAGACACACAGCGATATATAAAGAAGACAATCCATTCTTCATTTTATTCCTGATGGGATCATAGTGGTGTGTGTCTCAGTGGGGGACTATTATCTTTTAGAACTATTTGGTACTTGTTTGTTCATCACTAACTAACTGAACTTCTTAATATTATACATGAAAATTCAGAGTTAAACTTATTTCTATTCTATTCTAGACTGTTGGGTTAGAAAGTCTCTAACTATATCAGTTTCTTTCATGCTTCATGTCTTTTTTTAATTGAAATGGCAGAACCAAATATGTGACAGATAAAAATTGTTTGGAAATAGGGCAACCAAAAAACAAATCTCTCCTCTGCTTGTTTACAAAAAGAACAAAAGATCTCAATGTCCATATGAAGAGTTCAGATGCAAAAGCCTCTAAGTGCCATTTGAAATTTTCTTCTAGAATGATCATTTTTTATCAAGCTTGTATATTTAAGTTCAGTGATTTCACTTAAATGGCAATGATAATTACCATGATAATGATAATTGTTATTTAAGTGAAATTACTGAACTTAAATATACAAGTTTGATAAAAATCATCATTAAAGAAGAAAATTTCAAATGGCATTTAGAGGCTTTTGCATCTGAACTCTTCATATATTTCAAAATGTTAGAAATTACATGTATTTTATGGAACATTTGCTTTGTCTAATTGGAAATACAATATTTTCCAGGTAAAAGCCAGGCCCTTATATTTGTGATATTTAACATTTAAGTATTGCAGCCTGCAGGTTCAGAGAATTTTTCTTTTTTGCTGTTTTTATTGATTTTATGGAATACTGAATCTGTTTTTTGTGCAAGTGAGATTAATAAATGCCAGCTCACTTTTAGTCTATAACTACAATAATCATATTTACAGCACACTGTACCTTTACTTTGGATTTCTACATGGGGACAAGAGAGCTGTCAGACAATAAATGGGAAAACAAAGTAACTTGTGCTACACCTACCCAAGTAACTCAGTATGTGCAAATTTAAAAGTAATCCATTACTTTACTCGTTACTTGAAAAAAGTAATCTGATTTTGTAACTTACTTGTAGTTACCCAAAACTTGTTTACTAACCCTAACCCATTATTCTACAAGCCCTAACCCTGCCCCTAACAGTCCACAAATACTGAACTAATAGTTGACATGTAGGTGCAATGTTACTTTAAGTCAAAAGAATGTCTGAAGGGGGCCGAATTGAATATGAATGTAATTTTTACATAATGTGAAACATTTGATATTGTAAAAAGTGTTAGGATGTTCTCCAGCCTTCACTCCCACTCCCCTCACTCTCTCTATTTTCTCACCTTTGCTCTCTCTCTCTCTCTCTCTCTCTCTCTCTCTTTCCACAGGAGGATCAGATGTTCTCGAGACTCCAGGAGGGCAGTCGGCCGGCAGACGGACTGGCTCCACACTAGACTGGGCATCCGTACACACAGTCAGACATTTTCTCATCAGTTTTACTTTCCCTATCCTCAGCTAAACATGCTTGTTGCTAGCAAACATTCTAGAGTAGACACTATACACACATATACAACCACATGTGTGCATTCATTATCTTAATCTATAAATATATGGGTTTCTCCTCAATCTTACAAGTACATATATTGGATAGGCCTATAAATACAGCACACAAATATGATATTCAAGGATATGATGACAAATGTTTTTTTTTTAAATAGACATGAACATAATGCCAACTTAAGATGATATGATTGACAATCAGATGGGCACCCCCGTTTCTTTACTAAATAATACATAGCCTACGATCAATTAATAAACATTAATAAAACAAAATGTCATATTTTGTTCCCTGTGACTTAATATCCTCCGGTTTTATGACTTAGGGATAAGATTCATAGTGCAGCAGCAGATAATGCATATACCCATTATCCCTGCGCCAATAACGTTTGTCTGTTTTTTTGTTTTGTTTTTTCAAATACTGATAAAAAGTGTTTTTTATTATTATTGCTAGTTATCATCATCTCTGTTTCTCTCACACTTTCTCGCTCAGTGAAACCAGAGCGGGGGACATTCCTTCTTAAAATGGCCCCCTCTTCCTCTGTCTCATCCTGTGGTGTTATTGAAGCAGTATTTCAGACCTGTCATAAAGTCTCTCAAGGATAAGTATCCTAACTACCTAAATAAGTGTCTACAGGTGATTGAGGTTTTTACACCTCAATATTACAATAATATAAGGTATTCAATTATATTTTTCTCATACTGCATTACATAAAACATATAGATACATATAGATTCAGGCTAAATGGTTATTTTCTTAATTCAGGTAAAGCCCCTTCGGTCGTCAATTGTCTGCACTTGCTGCCACCTAGCGGCGTCTGAACTAACTACATGTCAGTAACAACGCAAGGCAGGAACAGGACAATCCTCTGGCATCATGTTTTGGCTACTGGCCATGCAGCTAGTCAATATTTTCCTGGAAGACACATTAGATGTGAATGCTCACTGGAGCCAAGCAACCTCAGATGTTTTCCTTTGCCGTTTCTGCTTCCATTCATGAGGAGTTGGAGCTCAGCCCAAATAGCTGTGTGATCCGTTAGTGATTTATAACTGTTCTGTATTGTTTAATCTCCTAAATTATACTAGCAGACACTGGAAACGTTTCCATGGTTTTCTAAATGCTGCCTAACCATGATGAATTTTTTCAGCCCACATGGAGTCTTTTGCCTAAGACATGTGAGAGAGATGTTCAACTTTTCATAATAGTCAAATGGTCTGTCGGCAATTTTCTTGTCTGCATTGCTTGCTGGGAAATCCAGCTTAAAATGGTATCTGTGTTTTAGACAAGGTTCTTTCAAGCTGGTCTGAACTGGTCATTAGCTGATCCAACCTAGTAGACCATCTTGGACCTCCAACAAATCTGTAACCAGCTGATTACACCAGCTTAAAGTGGTCAATTTTGAGTTTGTTTTGTCACAATATAATGTCTGTTCTTCACAATAATAGGACAACAGAATGAAAATTCAGTCTTTTGTCTACTGTATACAACTCTAGAAAATGTGACTGTTATGAGTTATGGAGTGCATTTCTCTCTCTACATATTCATTAGCAAATTACAGTGAATGTAGGCTCCATTTTTATTCTAATAAGTGGAAAGTTTTCGGAGCTAATTGCATGCTGGCTTTTGCCACTCTAAATAAAGGCTGGTGTTTAATTAAAGAGTATCCCATGATCAAACTCTGGGTTGTATAATGGGTTGTGTTTATCCCTCTCCGTGTGTGAGGCAACAGCTAAAGAGACTAGACTGTTCAGACCCCATGTTTGCTCAAGTTATATTTTTAAAGTCTGTTATTTCCTCTTAAGAATATTTGCAGTGCACACAACAGTATTTAAGTATGGATTAAAGGGCGCTTGTAAAGCTGCTTCAAGCCCCTTCGGAGCCCCTGCTTCTAAGACCCACCCAACAACAGTAGACCTGAGCCGAGCCCTGCATTCACTCACACAAAACTCGCCTCGACAGCCCGGCCCACAACACTGCTGACAGTGCTGGTTCATCACTTTGAACTATAAGATGACAAAAGTAGACAGCAAAGGGAATGTATCAAATATATATATATATACACTCACCGGCCACTTTATTAGGTACACCTGTTAACTGCTCGTTAACACTTAATTTCTAAGCAGCCAATCACATGGCGGCAACTCAGTGCATTTAGGCATGTAGACATGGTCAAGACAATCTCCTGCAGTTCAAACCGAGCATCAGTATGGGGAAGAAAGGTGATTTGAGTGACTTTGAACGTGGCATGATTGTTGGTGCCAGAAGGGCTGGTCTGAGTATTTCAGAAACTGCTTATCTACTGGGATTTTCACACACAACCATCTCTAGGGTTTACAGAGAATGGTCCGAAAAAGAAAAAACATCCAGTGAGCGGCAGTTCTGTGGGCGAAAATGCCTTGTTGATGCCAGAGGTCAGAGGAGAATGGCCAGACTGGTTCGAGCTGATAGAAGGGCAACAGTGACTCAAATAACCACCCGTTACAACCAAGGTGGGCAGAAGAGCATCTCTGAACGCACAGTACGTCGAACTTTGAGGCAGATGGGCTACAGCAGCAGAAGACCACACCGGGTGCCACTCCTTTCAGCTAAGAACAGGAAACTGAGGCTACAATTTGCACAAGCTCATCGAAATTGGACAATAGAAGATTGGAAAAACGTTGCCTGGTCTGATGAGTCTCGATTTCTGCTGCGACATTCGGATGGTAGGGTCAGAATTTGGCGTCTACAACATGAAAGCATGGATCCATCCTGCCTTGTATCAACGGTTCAGGCTGGTGGTGGTGGTGTCATGGTGTGGGGAATATTTTCTTGGCACTCTTTGGGCCCCTTGGTACCAATTGAGCATCGTTGCAACGCCACAGCCTACCTGAGTATTGTTGCTGACCATGTCCATCCCTTTATGACCACAATGTACCCAACTTCTGATGGCTACTTTCAGCAGGATAATGCGCCATGTCATAAAGCTGGAATCATCTCAGACTGGTTTCTTGAACATGACAATGAGTTCGCTGTACTCAAATGGCCCCCACAGTCACCAGATCTCAATCCAATAGAGCATCTTTGGGATGTGGTGGAACGGGAGATTCGCATCATGGATGTGCAGCCGACAAATCTGCGGCAACTGTGTGATGCCATCATGTCAATATGGACCAAACTCCCTTAGGAATGCTTTCAGCACCTTGTTGAATCTATGCCAAGAAAAATTGAGGCAGTTCTGAAGGCAAAAGGGGGTCCAACCTGTTACTAGCATGGGGTACCTAATAAAGTGGCCGGTGAGTGTATATATATATATATATATATATATATATATATATATATATATAAGTATATATAAATAAATAAATATATAAAAATATTTTCAAGGTTTGTTATCACAACATTTTTTCTTTTGTCAAATCAACTTAAATAATTTATTTAGTTGAGATAACTTATTATTTTGAGTTTCTTGTTATGATTAAATCAATCTCCTTCATTGTATTAACTCACTTTTTCCAGTTCAATCAACTTAAAATTTTAAGGCAACCAGGTTACTTACTTTTTTTAAGTTAATCCAACAATATTTTTTACAGTGTATATATAGGGCTGTCAAAATTAACATATCAATTTTTTTCAGTTTAATGTGTTAAAAATATTGAGATATATCTCACAAAAAAATGTGATTCAGGTCAATAGAACGAAAAAAAACCCCACAAGTTTTAGAGATGTGTTTTTTTTTTTTTTTTAAACTGAACTTATTTTAACTTGAGAGCTACATTTTTAGAGTTCTGTGTGTGTCATGCATGAGACGCTGCAAAAGACATAAGATGTGAACGCAATGGTTAAAGACGTCCGTCTAGCGCGTGTTTACGTTGAAACATAATGGAAAAGTAATGCAGTTGAATGGAAAAACGCGTTTTGTGTTAACTTAATGGTCCCTAAAGCAATATAAAAATAACTACAAAATGTATGAATCACTAATTTTTCTAAAGTAACACTATCCAACAGCGACACCCACAGGTGAAGATACAGCGGGACGCCGCATCTCTCTTGCCTCCCCTGAGTCCATTGAGTTTTAACACACACCTCAGCGTGAGGTAGGTTTAGTGGTGGTGGGTAATTTGGGATGGGGAAAATTATGTGAGGAGGCAATGCCTCCTTCGCGCTATGAGGGGATGTGATTAATTATAATTGATTGGTACATGGTAAATCCACATGTACATCCCGGGAACACACAACATGGCCTCACCCGGGTCACCCCCTTTCTTGTGTGTTCCTGGGGACAGGATATGTAGCTACATTTTAGGGGTTGTGATGTCACCAACCTGGGAACAGGCTCGTTGTAGTTTCTCCCAGCCAGTTGTTGTAGTCCTGGAAAAGTGATTTCAACAAGAAAATATCTCCCTTTGTATTGAACTTTGGGCTTTGTAACTTTGCAGATGCTGTTAATGCTGAAACAGCAACATTACACAATAGGCCTATAGTTAGAAAAGTGAAATAATAATCAAGGACCCATTTAAAGATGCATCTCTGTGTCTTCGACCAGTGTTTACCAAGCATAAGGACTGAAGGTGCATTCGTCATGTTTATAGCCTACCTTAATTTCGAGGTTTCAACTTGTCACAAACTTTCACGTCCTCATAGAGCTCATAATTACAGCTTTTAAAATGGGACTTCTCTGAGAGCTCATATTTTTACCACGTGACCGCTGCAGATTGATTTAGGCTTGATAGTGGCGCTAGAAACGCATAATTCCCAGTCTGAGGATGCGTGAACAGCTCAGAATCACAGCCTATGCTCAGAATAGAACGTCACTTGTTGCCATCTCGAGCCTCCGGTAGGCGTAATTACAACACAGCGTGAACGCAGATGGTCCGAAAATATGTCTAATTTCTTTTTTGTGCTATTATGTTGTTGATGTTATGATTATGTTGTTTTACTCTGTAAACTGAATGTTTAAATAAAGCATTTAAAAAAAAAATAATAAAAAAAAATAAATAAATAAAAATGGTCCGAAAATATGTTGACTATATATATATATATATATATATAAACCCAGCTTAACATCAGTCCAAAAATAGCATATAATATTTAAATTGTTACTGCCTTTTGTTATTATTTTTGAATAAATGTAAAAATGCTAACAGTAACATGATGGGATTGATAGGCTAGGCCTACTTGGTTTTATTAAATAGAACATTAATCACATTGTTAATGTAAAAATACAAAATATAACTGTTTTGTTTTCTTTTTTTATTTAACGTAAAGTAGCTAATGCTTATAGAGCCATGAAAATGTGACAATGTTAAGCGTAACGGACATGAAGATACATTTGATTTTATTTCATTCTCATGGCCTGATACAACCTATGAAAATACATTCTGTGTAGCAACTTCAATAGAACATCTTCGCCACCAGGTGGCGCTGACATGCTTGTCTGAATCCTAAAAAACAGCTAGCTCCATACCATCTGATCTGTCCAATTAAGTATACATTTAGTAGGACCAGCTGTGTTGTTGAAAAAACAATTGCAAGGGACATGCTTAGGATAACGACTTTTAGTTGTGTGGTAGCCTATCATCCCCCAAGATAAACAAAATAGATTATCTTCAACTAACCCAAATGACAGGCCAAGATGACACTGGATATTTTAGTCATCGCTTGCTGATCCATATCATTCTGCCCTCAGTATTTCCAACACACAGTTGGCTATTCGCTCTGACTCATGGGTGCTAAGACCAGTATGCATCACACTCAGCACAATAGAGTCAGATCTCCTCCAGCCTTGTACACGCATCAGCACGTGAATCATAATCCTCACATGGGTGTGTAGTACTTTGGGCCCATATCATCCACAAAATATATGCCCTCCATGCTGGGTCTGCACTCTTTTAGTCCCTGTTACTCACAGTAAAACAGAAACATGCACACGGTGAGTCACTGTTGGTTTTGCAACGCAGCACACTCCTTCAATAATAAAAATCCAGAGCGTTATATTATGTAACGCCTGAGTGTGGGCTGGTGTTGACTGGTGGTGTGTGTTGGTGACCAGATTTATCACAGCCCTCTGAGCTTATCAGCGACTGCGTTGACTACAGCATGCAAAATATTTCAGCTGATCATATGTTTTCTTGTTTATCTTTTTTATTCCAGTGATGAATTTTACTCACAAAGAATGCTTCAGAACAGCATTTCCTCATTCTTTACATGAAATAGGATTGAAAAACTTTATTTTAATATGCAAGAGGTGTTGACAAGCTCTTAGTTTTCTTGTGCAGACAATCAGGTAACATATAGTTTGGGTATTTATGACTTTAAATAGTTGTATTTGTGCTTTGGAACAACATCACTTTAAATTTGCGCTTTAAAGAAAAGACTAAACTGAGTTTGACCTTCCCCATTAGCACCCATTTAGCACTCAATACACTTTAAAAAAGTGACCTTAATTTTTGTGCAGTGCTTCGAAATATGCGTTTATGGCAGTAACTGAAAAGTGACTTCTGCCTAAGGAGGTTTATGTGTGTGTTTGCACATGCCTGTTCTGTTTTGAAGTAGGCCTATGTGGACAGATTGATGGATTTTGAAGGGCAAATACTTTTATATTGTGCTCTGTTGCCTGGAATCTTTATGCTGTATTGGTGTGACTGCTCTCAAGTCTGCCATAAAACTTGCCTAGGTACACTCGCACACACACACTCACACACACACACGACATATGCACATTTATTTAACTAAAAGCAATGCCAATGGGGACATACAATAGATTTCTATGGTCTTTATACAGTATACAGATTGTTAATTTATAATTACCCACACGCTAAACTTAACAGAAACCGTTTTACCTTTTTATAACTAAAACAAAACATGAATACACTGTTATTTAAAGGTTTGGGGTAAGTTTGTTTACAGTAATACTTGATTTAGCCATGACACATTAAATTGAACCAGCCCGGACCAATATGGAATTCAGGATCAGCAGGGGTGCTATCATAAACATAAATGTGTGCATGCTTAGGCCCTACCCTTCAAACAAACATGCATACACAGACACGCATTAGAATGAATAAAAGCACAAAAATTTAAACACGGATGGGTGCATGTAAACATACAGATACTGCCACACACAAACACTGCTACTCAGAGCTCTTGGCAGACATGTTTGTTTATCTCTCCGTACCTGCCACTCACAACAACATACTGGAGCAAAGTCATCACGTCAGAACTGATTACCAAAATGGTTCAGTAACTTCTTTCCGGATGTCTCCTAAGCAGTACGTTAAACTAAATAAATATTTGCATATATACAGTAATAGTATACTGCATACTAAACTTCATCAGATGTTGTTTTCAGTTCTGCTGAGTGTACAGATGAAGCTAAAATCATTCTCCCACCTGTCCTTAATCATTTTATTTATTTATTTATTTATTTAGAAAAGGGACAGTGTACATTAATAAACATTCTTAAATGTAAATGTACCCAAATTAGCCCAAAGGCTAGTTTTCATTGGTAGTCCCTTTGCCAGATGTTATTAGGCTCTTAACTAGGAAAAAAAAAGAGTTAAAAATTACAGCAATACAACAGTCATAAAACTAAGTATACAAAAAGACAATGTATATATATACAGACACAATTAAACCAAAAAAATAAAAGAAATTAAAAATATTTTAATTAAATATGAATGAATAGGTCTATAATAAAATTAATAATAAGGTTAGTAATAATCATTGGTTCCAGTATTGTGTTAAACACTGCTGATAAGACCTAAGCTTCATCTTATCACTCAAACACATGTCCTCCACTGGGACATTCAGCCCCCTCAGCCCCTCTTTACCACCTTGTAGCTCCCCAAGGTCTCTTGAGTCAAAGTATGCACAATACCCTCATCAGCCATCAGATTGTATAAGGCCATTACTCATTCACGCTGCCTTGCCTTTTGTGTGAGGCAATTCTTCAGACAAACACATGCACGCACACACACAGACACATATATCCCCAAATCCCCCCACTTCGCTCTTCTAGATCCCATCTGCCCCCTGCCCCCACACATCCTAAACTACAAGCCCCCTAGGCCCTGGACTTCATCCCTTCCTACACTCCTCAACCAGCTGTCCGGGAGCTGAATCCCCTGAGGGAATAAACAGGTGCTGAGCTTGTGCTGGCCACTGCAGTCAAGCTGCACATTTTAACACTCGCAGCCTCCATCCTGCCACACGCTTTCACACAGATGACAAACACACACACGTTTAGCTATCTAACTGAGGATACCATTCAGACCTTTGTAAACTACTGTATACCATTCAAATGTTTAGGGTCATTTTTGAAAGTATCTCTGCTCACCAAAGCAGTAGTATATTGTGATATATTATTAAAATGTAAAAATGTTTTATACTTTTAAAATGCAATTTTTGCTGTAATATTATTTTCATGATCCTTCTGAAATCATTCTAATATGCTAATTTGATGCTTTATTAACTTTTAAAACTTTTATTTTTTTGGCTTTATTGTCACTTTTAATCAATGTCATTTAAATGGTGAATATGTTTTTGAATGGCAGTGATTAGATGTAGCCTATATTTGTCATAGGCAGCTTTTGAAGTACTACGTCAACTCATACACAAACATGTTAAATTGTTCTCTGAGGAAATATTAATTTTTGAAAACCTGAAAATGACATTTCAACCAATTAGAACACATCTCTGTTCATCATACATTTATATGAAAGATTCAGAAACTACACTGTGCAGTTTTTTTTATGTTTTGTATTCATGCTGTGCACAGAATCTGTTTATACATTGAGTATATATTGACCATCACCGTGTGGGAGGACAAGAAGAAAGCAAATGCTATGAAAAAATATACATCAGATGTTCTTTAAAATAGATAAAAGGAAGAAGCAGTGCCATGCTGAGCTGAGGTCCAGGCTGGGTATTTTTAGCACAGCTAGTGAACTGTTTTAAAAGTGTATCAAGGGTTGCTATACTCAAATTTAACTAAATGTGTGTGGCCAGAGTTTAAAGACCTCAATGTAAAACTCTTCGGTTTGAAGCTGTTTTAAAACATTGCCTTGAAGTTTTATCACTACATCTTAGAAAATCAAGGAGAAAAAAAATGGCTCAATCTGATAAGGATAAATCAAATCTGACTAGTGCAGTCCCTTGTGTTTGCATTTTGCATAACAGCTGGCCATTGGTTGCGCACACTTCTTTTCGACACTTATGACCTAAACTCCCACTGGCATATGTTCATGTGTGTGTGTGTGTGTGTGTGTGTGTGTGTGTTCCAAGACTATGGTCAGTGATGATGACATAAAAACAAACACAAACAAAATGAAAACCATTTAGGTTAAAAAGTTAGTGTAAAAACGAAAATCAAGACAACTTAAATGATATTGATAAAATTTCATCACAAGTCCACAGAAGAACTAAAAATTGGATCATGTACATTTTTATCTCCTCTAGCTATCCATTTACACAATTAGTAGTAAAATCTCCTCAATCTTCTATCCCCCAAAATTAGTAGTTTGTTAAGACTTGTTTATCTGCTCCTAATGAGTCTTGCAATGTTAGTATGAGTTAGTGTGTATGATTGCATGTTGTTGTCATGGTGAGGGCAGGCATCACCATACTCAGCAATATTCACTCCCTCACTAAAAAAGCAGACAATGCCCAGTATCAGATGAATTAAACCCTGTAGCCTATAGGCCTGTTTGGTGGGACAACCCTCACAGCGAAAGAGCTGGGGGTGGGGGAGGTAAAGGAAAAGGGAATGGCACTCTTTTCTCCCTTTAGAATTAAACTGTGCTTTTACTGTGAATGATAAGTAAGGTCTTGTATAAATTGTTTCCTGTGTGTCACTGTCTAAAAGTGGTTATTGGGTGGGTTTTATGAGCGTTTACAATAGCACAAGAGGAAGGGAGCAATAAAACTGTTCAGTAGGACTGTTTCAAATGTATGACATTGCGCCTCGTCTTTATGTCTATGCTTTATGTTTGTATGAGTATTTTTGGCCACGTGATGTCAACATGCCACACTCATGAACCATACCAGAAACAATATTGAGAAAATGTATTAAGATACGCGTTATTAAAGAAACTGTAATGACTGAACTCTCATGTGATTTCTACATTATTAAACATATTTCCAAAAGTTGCTTTTTAATGAGGAAAAAATACCGAGTCCACCTTTAAGCTTTAAATGCAGACGCAGTGAATCCATTACAGTCAGAGAGCCGCACCACACAGCACAGCGAATGCCTTTAAACTTCAGTAAACTTCATTTTTTAAGCGGTACACAAAAACGTAGGTTATATTATAAACAGAGAGGTAATTGTTTTTCTCATTAAATATATCAGTTTTATTTCTCTTCCAATTCCAACCTATCCAGACGGGATGGAGGGGACTACTTTCCTGCGCGGAGTGATATGAATGGCCTCGCAGTTATTGGTGTGTGTGGCGCGCTTTGCCTGCCTGATGATCTCAAAAGACGGCCAGACGGAGCAGAGCTGAGCGCTGAACTTGAGACCGTGTCTCAGTCACGCCTCAAGTCCCTCTTCACTTTTCTCCATATTATTATCAAGCTACAAGCAGTTTATGTTGCTTTACCGCCTTCGGATTACACTGAAGATTAAAAAAGTATCCAGAATTTCTCTCCCGAGGTGCGTGAGGGACTGCGCAATAGAGGAACGTTGAACTCAATTCAACATGTCAATTTTACCGTTTACTCCGCCGATTGTGAAAAGATTGCTGGGCTGGAAGAAGGGAGAGCAGAACGGACAGGAGGAGAAATGGTGCGAAAAGGCAGTCAAGAGTCTGGTGAAGAAGCTGAAGAAGACGGGACAGCTGGACGAGCTGGAGAAAGCCATCACAACTCAGAATGTCAACACCAAGTGTATCACCATACCACGGTGAGTGTTGTTAAAAACATCCTCGACTTTGCTTAGGGGAAACATCGGGTTGTGGTGAAATGGGGCTGTTTTACGGTCGTGATTTTTGCCGAGCCAGCCCAAATAGTCTCAAACTGAAGTTATAACACATTCAAACAGCACAGTGAGGTTTTAAAAAAGCAGCAGAACCCCTTGTGTTTAGGAATCAACTGTGTGTTTCCTACATAGATCATAAACGGCATCTCACACTAAGAGTGCAGCAGCTCGTATCTGTTTGTTATATTATCAAATTCCGACACTCCTGTTGATTTATTATGACTTCATACTCTTCGTGGTTTTCATAAACGAACATTTGCCTTGCCTGGGGCTGTCATTTACTCTCTGATGAGGTTATATAACCCGACCTTAATCTGGGGAGCGCTGGTTGTAACTGCTGTCTGGCAGTGTATGGAATCCCGTGCTTATATTTTGGATGGCGGATATATTTGGCGCAGGACGTTCAGCTCTTTTATTCTTCATAAGTGTGTGTGCATCGGTGGATATAGGATGGACGTTGTGGTCTGAAGTTGTTTTTTCTTAGTTTCGCAACGACTGGTTAATCTTGTTATGTCACAGTGTCTGATGCTGGCCAAGTGCTCACAGAAGTTGAGGGTTGCCTTCAAGCCCTACACTTCAGTCTCTGCACTTCAGTACAGAGAAGCATTTGCACTGGTTCTGTTATATTGTTTCGTTGATGCATACACACATTGTGCGAATTAACGAGCTATTTAGAGAGGTCACCAAAGAGTTTTTGTAAATTATGCTTAGACATTTTCTTATTGATGAACTTGGTTTGGATTGTAAATCTTGTATAACATAATCATAATTATGTCATTTAAATAGTGTTGTGTTCATTGAGGCTATTTTTTGTCTTTTATATTAAATTATGTAAATACATGTCACAACAACCATTAGTAAGATTAATACTTTTATTCAGCAAGGATGCATTAAATTGACATTTATAATGTTACAAAATATTTCTATTTCAAATAAATGGTTCTTTTTAACTTTCTGTTCATCAGAGAATCCTAAAAAATGTAGTAAGGTTTCCACGAAAATGTTATGCGGCACAACTGTTTTCAACTAATATTAATAAGAAATGTTTCTTGAGCATCAAATCAGTATATAATTATTTCTGAAGGATCATGTGACACTTAAGACTAGACTAATGATGCTGAAAATTCAGGTTTGCCATTACAGGAATAAATTGCATTTTATTGTGTTTTTGATCAAATAAATGATTATTGCTGAGCATAAGAGACATGTTTAATAAACATAGAAAATTGTATATCAACGTTAGTCTACATCAACAACAACAACTTTATATTGGTCTGTGGTTATCGTGATCCGTTCATATTATATCCATTGGGAGTAAGGGGATAAGATAAATCAAACAATCAAAAAAGTTTAACAAAAAAGTTAACCAAGAGAAAGATGCATATGAGTGTGAGCAAGTAATGAATTGCTTATTAAACACCGGACCGCAGTGTCCGTTGTCTTTTTCACATAGAAAAGTTCTTGTGATGTACCGCGATGCTCTAATTATTTTTCATCTGCATGATGGAAATTTACAACCTTGTCAAATTGACAGATAATAATTATTTCTATTGTATTCTGATCGTATTACCAGTGAAAAATTAGTAAATTAAATTGGATTTTAATTCAACAAGGTTACTGAGAGTAACTTCTCAGTTTACAGACACTAAATTACTGTAAAGGTAAAGACTACAAAAAAAAATCTCACCCCTCTGTAATCCTCAGCCTTATAGTTGTTGCTGCCTGTAACCGGATGAGTTTCTGTAGAACCTCATAAGAGAGTTTATTCATGAGCTATATATGCAAAGTCATTGTCTTGACACATTTGGGTTGCTTGACTAAATTTAATATATTTGCTAAATTGGGTTGGCCTACGGAATTGAATTAAAGAAGACACTTTGAAGGAGTATGTGACCTTAAAGTCACAACATTTACAGTCCCTTAGAGATTTTCTTTCCGAATTTGAAGTTTGCATAATTTTGTGGTGTTACAGGGCCGAGCAACTTCGGTCCAAGCCTGCAGCGCTGTTGTGTTGGTTGTTGTTTCCAAACAACAGATCACTCAGTGAAAGCAGGGCTCCCAGCCAGAGATCAGGCTGAGTCACCCTGGAGGGAGAGTGAGTTTGAGCCTGTGGCTTTGTGGTGTGACCCACTGGTGCTTCTGTGGTGGAGCTTGGTGGTGACAGAAACCATAACAACAAGTGAGGACTGCATTGCAATCAACTATTGCGATGTGAGTTCAGGTTCTTGTGTTACTCAGATTGACTGGGTTTGTGTCAGTTAAGTGCATAAAAACAGTTTTAGCTTAGACTTCAGTCAGTTTTTGTCCTTGTTAGATTTGTGTAACCTGAATCAGCACAGTATCCAGTCCAAGGCTCTATTCTTGGCTAGAGATGCAACACTCTGCCTCACCCTGCTGGAGGATCCAGATTCCTTAGACACACTCCACTCACCTCAGGCCACACAATCCTGTCTTGCCCTCACACGCAGCTCATGCTGGGAACCTGTCCCGGCCTGCTGGAGTCCCAGAGAAAGACTGATAAAGAGATAGAATTGAGTGTGGAATATGACATCGAGTTCAAGAGAAGAGGAGATGGAAGACCGATTGAAATTGTCCAAGACAGGATACGAAAAACATAATTATACCATAGTCACACTTCCTTCGCCTGCCATACACCTGTCGAAGAAGCCCTATCGGAGTGTCCACATAGACTTCCTGAGAGGATGTCTGTTCCACAGCTTGTCTGTGTTCTGAGATTCCTGCTATATCTCAACCCCGCAGTCTTTGTTTGCTTTTGCACTTTTCGCACAATGACTTCAAAGGCATCTGAACTGTGAATTAAATCTGTGGTCCATTGTGTGGGCGCATTCAACCGAATAATCAAACAAGTCGCCCTATCAGCTTAGAAATTGTATGTGCCCTGCCACGCCAATAGAGTTGGCATTTAAAAAAAGTGAAAAGTGTCTGTGTCTGAAAGTGTCTGTGCCTTGAAGAGATGTCTGGCTTTAAGTCTGACATCCTGAAACACTATACAGTATGTGATTCAAAGGCGCTTTTGATAAAACGTGGAGATTGGATGTCATTGGCTTGTAATTGATGTGCCGAGGGTTGTTTTGTTTCAGCCAGAGTAATGTCTTCAAAGCGCCGCTCGTCTGAGGGAAGTGAATCTGTCTGATAATTCAGAGTAATTGTGTGGCAGCTGATAGAAAGAGAGTGAAAGACAGCACGACAAAATTTCACAAGCCTTTGAAGTGATGGCTGAAACGAACAGTAAAGACACTATGTGGCGAGACCCACTGGCCACGGACTTGTCGTAGTCTTTTAACAGTTTTGTCTACAGCACCTTACTGTGCACTTATTACTGTAACTGTCCAGTCCTGCGGTTAGGTGTAATAGTGATGATGCATAGGAGGATGTAAAAAAACATTTTTGTGTGTTGTTTAGTTTTGGGTTGACTGAACAAATTGTAGTCTAATGTGCCTCAAGGAAAACCTGAGGCCCATTAGGCTGGTTTTGGGTTCACCTGATCCTGGTGGAATGTCTCATAGGGTGCTGTGCAACTGAATGTAACAGAAGACCAGACACACTTTTTAAAATTTCAAGTATTTTTACCTTCACTGTCTTAGAAACACAACGCTCATGGTGGTTCTCTGAGACGCAAAATGCAACAGTCAAAGATGTCTGTCTGAATGAATGTGTATGGCTGTAGCGCCAGTACTCAAATAGCATTCATGCAGCTCAAACAGTAAAATGTGGTGTTAGCATTGGCAATGCCATGGTCATGGTTTGGTTTTGTCTCCCAGGGAATGCATTATAAAATGTATACTGATAAAATGTATACTGATAAAATGTATTGTATACATTATTAAAGGGTAAGTAAATCCTAAAAAAACTTTTTTTAGTTAATGATCTGTAAGACACTGGGGCTTTATTAAAGGTGCAATGTGTAACAAAGTTGAGTATCTATTAACAGAAATGCAATATGACATCCATAACTATGTTTTCAGTGGTGTATAAAGAACTTACTTAATTAACCGTAATGTTTTTATTACCTTAGAATGAGACATTAATAGCTCCATAACCGCGGGAATCCCCTTCTATGAAGGTCGCCATGTTGTGACGTCATATTCCTACCGTAGCCGAACGCGAACACACAGTGCTACAGAACGCGTTTCATCACTACCTTGAAAGAGAAGTAGCGGAAAGCTAGCCTTACACTCCGTGAGTAGTGACTTTTCCCTTGTGAGTGGTGTAAAATATGTAGTTGGGATTGTTTCATGTAACTTAGTTCTCCCTCGCTGTGTTATGGGTTTGTTATGTTGGGGATAGATGTGCTGTTACGTTCGTGAGACAGCTGATGATTAGTATTCATGTCATTGACCGTAAAACAGTACGTTACAGGAATCACTAACCCGTCGATAGAGACTTTTACTAAAGTCTTTTATCACTAAAGTCGATCACGAAGAATTTTAAAAATCAGAGAAAAAAAGCCTATTGTGTGTAGTAAATAGTATCTATGGGATGCGGAGATGACATGATTGTAACAGCGCGCGCACTTCCGACCTTTGGACTCATGCAGACGCGTCCCAGCTCAGCCACAGTAACAGCTCATATTAGCCAGCTAAACTATTACTACCCTGTTAGAAAAAATATATAGCTGCTCCCTCGCTGTATTATGGGTTTGCTACAGTATGTGGGGAGAAATGTGCTGCTGGTTACGTTTGTGAGACAATCAGCTGATTATTATTTTATTAAATTATATATTAAAACCCTTGATCCTCACCTGACTATGGCTTTGTAAACAGACAGTATTCATGATGTGGTTTATAATGGACTGTGGTACAGAAACAGTGACAATGTTACACACTCTTGGCTTACTCTGGCTATTCTCTGCTGTCTCAGCCGACGAGATGTTTGTCCCGTTTTAGCAACCGTAGCTTCTTCGT